GGTCCCCTGCCTTGGCTTTGGCTTTCGGCTCAGCAAAAGCACCCTGGGCGAAGGCGCAGGATTGTTTTGGGAAAGAGAATCAAGTTTTGAAAGCTGCAGTGGCAGTTGCCCCACAGGAATGGTGTTTCGAGAGTGGTTTGGTCCACCCACAGTCTAATTACAACAACTATACATGACTTAATTAATGTTGAAACTCGTCTGCTGAAGCACAGTGTTGTCACAAAATATCCACGCAAGTAGACTCGCTAAAAAAATCGGTGCCAGCTGGGCGGTCACAGGCCAAGCGCGCCCGTAGATAGACCAAATCATCAAACAAGGACCAATTAGAACCTGTCTACTTTCGCCTTGATGTGTCTACTTGCGCCTGTGGATATTCAAACCGCAAGACCGCTTGCATGCCGTAAGTAGAATAAGTAGACACCTCAAAGAAAGAACAAAGGAGCCAGGCAGCCAGGAAAGCAGGGGAGTTGCCTTCGGTCATGCGAGGTCGATCTTGGGAAAGTGGAAAGACATATGGAGAGTGGCTGGATGTAAGACACTTGCAGACCTTGCTTCTTAAGTGTTGGAATAGTTTGTCCATCTACAAAGCCCAAACTGAACTGGTGGAAGTCACAGGACCAAGCTGGGTTCAGGATGATGTTACAGCTGGCCGCTTATTATTTGGTTGATTTCTTCGAGACATTAAGATATACCCAATATGTATGTTATGTTAGTTATACTGTACAGTATCTAACAGGTTACACACCCTGCGCCCTAGCCCTGTGATGGAGTATATATATAATATATAATATACATTGTTCCTATAAATGCTGGCTGATCTCACAAACAAACACCCAAACAAACAACATTATGGACAACATGGAACCTGAGCTTGCTGGACACCCATGCGTCACTGAGAGAAACCTTGAAAAAACAAACTCTGAATGAAACTGATCTTTGCTATAACCCACCTGTTTTATGACAAACTGATAAACCCGGAATATAAGGAAAAACAACCACCGAACCCAGACCTTTAGCTGACATTGCGAACGTGTGTCCTGCTTTGTCTTCCGTCCCTGGCTCCGATACGCCGGCGCTCGCCTGGTCATCCTGACGGTGCATCGAGGCACATGGTTTAGAAAGGATAGGGCGAGCCTATGGCATTGTCTGCTGTCAACGCCTGTTGGTTCTCTGACCCCTTGCCATTTGCACAAAGAGGCGTCTTGTCGGGTCTCCCGATTTCGAGCAGCATAGATCAACCTATCCCCTACACACATGAGGGACCCAAAGGTGACTGCCTGGGTAGTACGTTTCGGAGGTTTGCACTATCGCCAAAAAAGCATTCGTTTCCTATAGAGGACTCAAACCGGAGGTTGACAACGGGCGGTTGTTGGTGGGATCTGTCTAGTAGACCTTCTTTGTGGATGTGGGCTGGGAGCCCATCTGGAATGTTTACTTCGCACATTTGACCCCATGAGCTTTCAAACAAAGAGATCTGAACATCTGGAGCTTCCAAGTTCATATATCCCTAGGGATTCACTGCCACCTTCTCAGAAGGTCTTTGGACTCTCCAAAACCTAGGACATCACAGTGTCGACTACATCACCTTCTCAAAGGGTGTCCATAGGGCTAGGGCATACATGTACCTCGAGTCTCAGTTTGTACTTCAGAAAATGGCCACAAAATACTACAAGTACCATCAAGTATATACTCGATTGTTTATTTTGTTTTCTAATATCTCCGCGTACCTCCTCAGAAGGTATTTGGACCCCCTAAACCCACCCCAAACACCTTCTTAGAAAGTACTTGGAGCCCGGGATAGGGTGTGAAATTCGGAAGTTGAAGTGGACTCGCCACCTGCGACGGCCGAAGAACAAGTCACCAGCTCACCAGGTGACCACCGAGTGCCTCAGCCCGCGCCTTTGGGGCGGAGGCGCAAAGGCCACGACGCGGTGGCGGTGGCGTCTGCGACCAAACGTCAGCGGTCGAGCCGAGTCGAGTTCCGAGCACTTCCGCTCCGGTCCGAAAGCAGGCGGCGTGCTCCAACCGGAGGAACCTGGGACCCTGTTGAAATTGGTTTGTTTGGTGTCTACGGCGAACAAACCATATCCTCAGGTTCGGTGGCAAGACAAACCCACCCCAACCAGCTTCTCAGGAGATGGTTGGAGCCCTAAGGTGTGTTTGTTTGTGTCCCAGAAACATAGGACATGACCCCGCATAACCCATGACCATCTTGGGGCCCATCTTGCGGCCCCCCATCGGTACGAACCTCACCCCCGAGCAGTCGTGCAAGGAACCGGAGTTAAAACATGGCACATCTCGAGTTTGGGGCATACACATACCAGGTCCATCCTGTCTGGGTCTGCTGGACTACGCTACACTACTTAGGAATGTCCAGTGGACACCCATTGGATGGTCCAGGTACAGGTATTTTATTAGGTATCTTAGGACCCTCAGGAAATCGGCGGCGTCTCCAAGTGTCTCCAGTGGCCAGTGGTCACTCTCCAAGGGTGGCAGTGGATCTATAAGTGGAACCCGAAACGATCAGCCCATATAGTTAGACCCTCCTAACCCACCCCCAACCACCGAACCTCAGGAGGTAGGCCAGGAGCCCTAGGGACATTTTGCATTGAGGTTTTTGATGATCAAAGACTCCAAAAGACAGGTCGCATGAGTCGCATTTTAAAATGTTTCGATGTACGGGTTGAGTCGCATCGATTGCTTCCCATCACCGCATGGACGGACCCTTTTCCAAGCAACCTCGTGCTTGGTGTTTTCTTGGTCAGTAGTTCAACTTACCTTGATCTAGGTCTGTGAACCACTAGAAAAAGCACGTTCAGAAAAAAAAAACAACAACACCCATGTCTGACCCGTGTCTCACTAGTAAACGCTCATAATTAGCTTGTGCATAAATGCTCGTGGAATATCATAAAACTAGATAAACATCCGCAGACTCAAATGTAATAAGGCAATGACTTGAACATATCATTTTCACGCCACAGATCAACCAAAAACACACTGAGGAAGTTCCTGGTATATCTGTCCTGTTGCACAAAGCACCCCTGAACAACGAGACAGTCATAGTCCAACTCATACTCTCCAGCAGATCTTCCTACCCCTGTTGATGGTCCCCTTCAAACAGCTTCTCTACAACTTCAACACCAAACTCGTTTTCTCACCCAAATGCATCCAGCTCGCCCAAGTAGAGTCTTCCCCTCTTGGCTTAAGAGGCTCCCCTCTTGGCTGCCCCAGGTCTGGTCACTGGTCCGTCCTTCCATCCTGAGGTCTGGCAGGTCGTTTTCATGGGGTAACAGGTATGTCACTAGTCCCATTCGATTCAACTCATAGCCCGCAATGCCGCATGTCCCATTCCATTCCAGTCCCAGGAATCGTGTCTGGGGCATGTCCCATCCACTCCGCTGTCCTCCGCTTTCCTCGCCTGCCCGGTTTCGGCGACTTTGCTCGAGGTGCTCATCCTGTCGATTATGGCCGGGTCGATTCGCCATCCCCAAACACTCAAGAGGGCAACCCTCCAAAAGATTCGACCTGGAGTCGACCGGTGAAAGCACCTCAGAAAATGGGCGCAGTCCTGTTTGAAGAGAGCCACGTCCTTTTGTGGGTACTTTGGGTGGGGTTTCGATCCAACCCCAAAAAAACACACAAAAATGCATCCGAAAACCCGAACATTCCAAACCCCTCCACCCGACTCCCCACTGAACTGACTGGGCGCCCAGGCAGTTCCGCGGAAGAGTCCCCGGTGGCCGCACGGGCGTCCGGTGGTCGTTCCGCCTGTCCGCTTAGAGGGGTCGGTTTGGTGGCATTGATCTATTGGTGGTACAGTTGGGGTATCTGCTGCAAGTATTCCCCCCCTCAATTCATCGCTCAAGGGTAAAAGGATGCAAAAGGCCATGGCATGGTGTGATGCGTGTCATCCAGGGGCACGTATTTTTGTTCAACGCGCCGGAAGTCGAAACGGGGTTGGGAAAAGCCCAAGGCGTGGATTCCGTGGTCCGTTCTTTTTCTAGGGTTTCCTGGCCCAAAGTAAAATCATTAATGAATCCAGTGCAAGCGTTCTTTTGATGTCAAACAAGGTCATTCCGTCCTTGGGTTGACTTGCTAGAAGTTCAAGAATGGCTTCATCCAGTGAACTGCTAAGAGTATAGTCAATGAGTCAATGTCTGCTCATAGGCAGAACTCTTGCATCGTTGGAACATCCAAGTCTGCCATATTTGCCGCAAAGATAGTGATGCTGACCATGCTGGTGCTCTTTGAACTTTGCTTAGCTCTTTTAACTGCCGCTTCTGTCCAGAAGCACAGTCCACAAAGGCTGCTTGTTGGGTGCCAAAACAAAATGTGATTTTCATGCTTTTGCAGCTATGACTCAAAGACCCCAGCCCAAGTAACTACACCTGATTCCTGACACCCAATGGGAATGGCATATTCACCTACGCTAGGGTTGTTTGATTAGTCAATGTAGGCATTTATTCAGCTACGCTAGGGTGTCTGGGTATAAGATCAGCACCATGTTGATTGAAACCTCCGCTCCAAACATTCTGAATTCCACGACTTTCCAAACCTCCCACTGCCTTGTCAGCCTTCTCGGGGTCCGGCGCCTGGTCCTGGAAATCCAGCGGATTGTGTCGGTCAAAAGGACCTGGAAGGGTTCAAAGGCTTGACCTGAACTAACTGCCACATGTTTGATGTCCAAACAGGATCAAAACCCTAGGCAAGCACCATCTGACGCATCTTATTGTTGTTTGCCGGCTTCCCCGGAAAAAGCACAAATGGACACTCATGAAAGGCATGGTTCCTAAACATGTCAGCATGTTAACTCTGGGGCTATGAACTTTGGACTCACAAAAAAATAAATTACACACAGCTCTTGATTGGTACGTTGAAAACATGGAAACTCCTGCTTGCCAAGGCCGACATCAAACCTACCTCCAACCTACCCAGTTCCGCTCATTTCGCGGATTCGAATTGCGGGTCTTGGTCCGTCTTGGACATGAAGACCAAAGGCTTCAGCGGATCACACACTTCTGGTCAGACCCTCGGTCCTCCGCCAAGTCCTCCTCAGGCTCCGGGTCCGACTCATCTAAAGCGAAGTCCTGGGGGGGCCGAAGACAAGCCAGATCCCACTGCTGAGAGTGGTCAAGGGCCTTCTTCAGGGAGTCCAAAGGAGTGGTCAAGGCCCAAGCCCTGCGGATGCAGTGCCAGTATCACTGGAAAATGGACAAGAACGGGTTTTCCAGATGCAAACGGCTCATCATCTCTACATAATCAAAACCCGCAGCTTCATGCAAGAGGACTGCCTTTAACAGGCTCTTGGCAGTGCTTCAACACGGTGGGATGAACATTGAAGTGCCAACATGTTTGTGCTTTTCTTGACCCCGAACATCCCCGAACTCTCTGACATTTCAAACCATCCCTGCCTGCTTCACATAAGGTGGGGGCACAGCCTATAGGAATTCATATCTAGGAAGCCAACCCCCCCACAAAAACATACCACGCAGCAAACCAGTTGTGGCCATGCCACCAGGAAAACACACAAACATCCCTCCTGCAGCGCTTTTTTGGCCATCAAGGTGACCTCGCCGTTGCGCTTCCGGGCATCCAGGGTGCGAAAGTCCTCCGTGTGCCAAGTGTCGACTTTCTTTTTGTTTGGCCCAGCGGCTGTGTCGGGTTCGAGTGTTTTAAGCACTGAAACGTCAAAAGAGTCAAACGATTGCATTTGTTGTGGGTTGTTTCATGTAAATTCAGCTGCAGGCAGTATGCAACATTTTGCGCCCAAAGACCAAAAAAAATTCACCAATAACACCTGAACTGCAGCCTCCGCCAAGAATAACACGGTCCAAAGGAATTGAAATTCACGTCAATTGCCACCCCAATTTTTTTCAGCCATTGATTGTAGTGAGGGGGATATGTAAGAACGCCTGCATAACGGGTTTCAATTGTGTAACTCCTAGATGACTGAAGAACACCTACAAAAAATCAACACAACGAAGTCGAAACATGAATCAGCATGAACATAAAAACACTAAAACAACTATAACGTACAACAGCGACATATTAATCATCATAAACAGTACTTCGAACCCCTGGTTGTATGGCGTTAGCTATCATAGGGGAATTCCGGGAACCCGAAACGGCTAGATCCTTAACTATATTTGAGCATTGCCCCCCAAAAGGGTAAGAACACCTAAGCACGGATGAAGGCACCCTGACCCATCATATGCAGACATGTCTGCCCAAAAGGAAGTTCCAGCTACTTAGAACATGTTAAATTTACGTGAACCAACTCTACATCGAAAACATGCAGGTTGGCGCCCTTAAAACTCAAAAACAGTTTGACCAGTCTGCACTCCATAGGCATCAACCTAAGGGTTCGCTATGGGCTTGCACGTTCCCCTGGTTTTTCCTGCTTAGCTGGAATCTTCAAGATACACAAGAAGCGGGGTGTGGCCCACCCCCCATCAGAAGTTTGTACTGGCTCACGCTTGTACATTTATGTATAAACACCATCCTTGAGCAAACAAAATTTGAGCCAAAAGCAGGCCCTACGCTAGGATGGCTTTGTGTAGATCCTTCATGGATTTTCCGAAAAGTACTTGGAGGGCCCGTGCATGCACGAACCTTTTCACCGGCGGTTGACAAAGTCATACAGATGTTGCTATCGAACGCGCCAGTCTTTTGTCATTGCCCAGTAACGTGAAGGCCGGGCCATATATGGTCTGTGATCAGAATCCAACTGCTCGGGCCCGGCCCGTCAACATATTCCAAATAAGTGAGGCGGATATGCCGCACACATCAAAGGTCACCACTGCCCGCGCTCGCAACGTTGAAGCTCATCGCATTCTAGATCAAATCGAATAGGAAAACAGTGAAAGGACCAGTCTCCGTCGCCGGCCATTGCCAAATCAATGTCTGGGCACGGTTGGGCACTTTATTTGCAAGCCCTGCGGTTACGTGCAGATCCCCTCCTGCAATTCTTCGCCTTTTTGGGCTTGGGGCGCCACCAGTGGCAGCAAATTTGTTGACTGCAGCGATGGTTTGTGGTGACATGAGTTGCATGGACACACAACTACAGCGTGCCTGCGTAGGCAAATCCAATGCATCCAGCACCACCGCGACAATGTCAGGCTTGACCAAATTGCCGCACCATCGCAGGAATATTCACCACTTTGATGCTGCATCTTAAATCAATGCATGTATACCGACCCGAAGATTCAACCCTTCAAACGACTCAACCCTGGACGAATAGTTTTTACCAGTATTTCATCCTCAGCAAAGCAGCTGCCAGCGGCTTTGTCGCGTTGTTTTGGAACAATGTGCCTACAGTCCCCTTTCATGCTCACGAGCACTTTGATGCACGCACTTGCAAGCCACTTGATGTTCTGGTTGTCGCAGGTTGTCTAATTGCTTCACTACTGCAGCTGGGTCGATCATGCTGCTGTAGTCCCCACCGCCCACCCTGGATGCGAATAAATCAAATTGGGCAATGGCTTGTGTTGTGGTCCTCTGTTCCCGAGTTTGACATCGAGGGTCGGCCCTTGGCATTTGCTGCTGCAGTCCGAAAAGGAGCTGCTGCGGGCTGGGGTGTGAATAATGGTTGGGCAAAAACAGACTTGCGCGTTGCACCATCTGTTTCCTAAACACCTTGTTGACTAAGAACCCATTTGCTTTTAAACAGCGACTGGACACTGCAAACGACCCAGGACCTGTAGTCTTACTTGCAAAATATGTATTAAATATCAACGCGGTGGGTAGGCCTGTGAAGCAGTTGTTCACCACCAAATGGGAGATTTGTAGTCAGTAGAAGTATTGAGGAAAAGGGGTGTTTGTTAATAAGTAGAACTAAGTAGGGAAGCGGATCCCTGCTCAGAAATTTGGTGATTGCACGAAGGATCCCTGCTTAAAAAGGGGGTCCCTGTTAAACAATGTGGTGATGGCAAAAAGGACCTGTTCAGATTTTTTGTGGTTGCAAAAAGGGGGCCCTGTTCAACAAAGTGGTGATTGTAAAAAGGACCTGTTCAGAAATGTGATGATTGCACAAAAAGGGATCTTTTCAGATATTGCACGCGCAGCCCCCGGTGAGATTTCTGAGTGATGTTGAAGTTGATAACGTTACTCGGAAATTTGCACTCCTGCTGAACTCCGCTGCGCTGCAAATTTCCTACGAGATCCTTCAAGTTAAATCTGAGTGGGTGCTTAGAAAGCAAACCTCCCAAAATCTGAGCAGGTGCTGAAAACAAGAAGCACCCTAAAATATGAGAGGGTGCTCAGTGCTCAGAGGAACATCTAAAAACCTGAGTGGGTGCCCCAATTCAGACTAGGCCCTGGCGCTCGGAGAGAACCCTTTGGGTGCTGGGAGAAAAGGCTGTAAACTTTTTGAGTGGGCACCCGGAGTTTGCATCATAATTCGGTGGGCCACAGACCAGGGAGTCACTAAGTCTTCATACGGAATTTGCATGAAGTTGCTACAAAATATATAACAGCAAAGGCTGCGTATGAAAGGGCCCCCCCTTCGAGTTCCCGCCAATTCTCGACATAGTTTTCATGGGCAAACCCAATTCCCAGACATTTGTGTCCAGAAGAATCGGAACCTTTTCTAGGAAAAGCTGTAATCAAGGCACCATACATGAGCATCCCGCCGTCATCGTCGTCGCCAAACAAACAAAACATCAAACACCTTTGAAAACAACAGCCGCAACAACAACAACAGCAAGGTACAAACAAAGACTGCAGCCCCGTTACAAGATATCTTGGTCCTTTGTCTCTACAAGGGGGTGGAAACAAAATCTGCAACCCCGTTGTTGTTATTTTGACCCCGACCCCCGAAAAGAACCAGCCAACATGTACTCTTACCAGTAGCGGTAGTGCTTGTACTAGTGCTAGTACTAGTGGTACTAGTACTAGTAGTAGTCGTTGTTGTAGTGGTCGTAGTAGTAGTAGTAGTAGTAGTAGTAGGAGTAGTAGGAGTAGCAGGAGTAGCAGGAGTAGCAGGAGTAGCAGTAGCAGTAGTAGTAGTAGTAGTAGTAGTAGTAGTAGTAGTAGTAGTAGTGAGTAGGAGTAGTAGTAGTAGTAGTAGTAGCAGTAGTAGTAGTGGTAGTGGTCGTAGCAGTAGTAGTAGTGGTGGTGGTGGTGGTGGTGGTGGTAGTCCGGTCAGCTAAGCCTCTGTAAAACTTCTACTTAGAACCTCTACCACATCCTAGAGACAAAAACTGCAGCCCCGTTGTTTTTTTTGACCCCCCCCCTCAGAAGATGTTGTTGTCTCTACCCCCCCCTAGAAACAAAATTTGCAGCCCCGTTGTTGTTTTTTGACCCCCACCCCCTCCACAACAACATCCCAAAACACATCACAAAACAAGAAACAGACCAACCAAGACTTAAGTACCACAATGACAAGAAGTCCAGCTACTAACATCTCTCCAAACCTTCGACCCTATCCCTAACTGTGTCCCTTTGAAATCCCTGACTTGCAACATGTGACAACTATGTTGGGCAGCTGTTTTTGTCTCTACCAACAACAACAACAACAGTCAAGAGTCAATAGTATAAGCTTTGATCTGTATCTTGAGGATATACAAGACTAGGTGGCCCTTGTAATCAGGCCAGCAATACGTATAGTGCACTGCCGGCACTTAGAATATGGCCGGAGCATTTGGTTGCAGTTAGAATATGGCATTTTCATGAACGACAGCACAGTTAGAATATACATTCTAAGTGCAATAACCGACCACACATACCTCAGCATCTTTTCCCACCCAAAGACGCCGGAGATGAAGGCTCATGCATATTTACTGGTTGCACATCTCCCTTGAGGCAAGTGTGATTGGATTGACACACGCTGCGTATATTCTAAGTGTGGTGCGCACATTCTATGTGGATGTGTGTGGAAATTCTATCTGCGCGTCCGCGGACAAATGGACAAGTGACCTTGGGACATATGGACCAAATCAAAAAATTCTTTTGGTCATATTCTAAGTGCTAGCTGTCCACTATATAGCTTCTGCAAAAGCTGTTCCCCTTTGCTTTTGAATCTTCAATCAGGTCAGGCCAGCGCATCTTGGTTGCTATGGAAAGCTTGCCAGCCCAAGTGGTGGCTGGCCCAAGTCCAGGCCAATCACTCCTAGCCCAAACCCCCTCTTCCACAAAACAGCGCTCATGCGTTTTGGCGACAACTCGAGGGGTGGTGCCAGGCTGGGGGCACCTCAGACCTGGCACCAACCCTGGCCCCCGTCCAAACAACCATCCCCCGATAAATTCATAAGGCTTCGTGCGTTTCACCACAGCTCCCATCTGGGGCGGGTGGGCAGGGTGCAAGCAAGGTTGCGGTTCCTGAACAAAGAACACCTGTTCAGAACAAAATGCAGCACCTGAACTCAAGACACAACATATTCAACCCAGAGTATCCCTGCAACGTTCCCATGCATGTGCTTGTGGTACAGCAACAAAAACAGAAACTTATGGAGTGTTGAACCACTTCAAAGCAACTAACCACATCAGCTTTCGATCTTCGGGCCCTGAACCTTCGGAGTGGATCCGGACCTTGGCACGCAGAATACCCGTGCGCACCGAAGACTTCGACAACAACACAACAACTGAACATGGGACATGGACCCAGCCAACAAACAAGTACGCGCGCCTGAGACTTCAGGTGGTGTGGTACCCAGGGAGATGGTCTGGACGCAAAGCTCCTGCACCCAGGGAGGTCCTTGGCATCTGGCTCCGGCAGTTGCAAAGCTTCAGGCAGCTGAAGAAAGGCATCCTCAGCTTCGGTCCGCCCCAGGACCTTGGGTTCGTGATCTCCTTGCATGCTTTAAGTCTAATTGGTGCTTTGATCTGGTCCGGGATTGTAAGCAACCTCGTTGTGGGTTTTCAAAGATGGTCACTTTGGGGGATCCTGGCCGGTCAACAGAAGAAACGCCTATCTCCTTTAATTGTGACATCACTTACCCATCCAAGGGTGCCATCGCCCTTATTATAGGAACCTGTTGCTCATTTCGTACTTGGTTTACAACCACCGTGCAGCAAGAACAGTTCTTCGTCAGGACACAAGTATTCCACAGGTTCGTGGTGAAAAGGAACACATTGCAACCCATAGAAGGCGCCATTTCCTTTCGTTGCCTTATACAGGTCAAAAAAGTGACCGAACCCACCAAAGCACCATAGGAACACCAGGACAGGAACCAAAAAGGAGACATGGATACACATGGACATACTTGTTTCAGATGTGGTGGTACTTAGAGTTTTGTACCTTAAATCTGCATCTTCAATTATCTTGAGGCGTTACTAAAACCTCTGGAACCCAGGAACAAAACCAAGTTTTTGACACAATACAAAAAAGGAACGGTCAGGAGTCAATCTTGAGCTGGATGGTATTTGGTTCCTGCGCGTCCATCGCAACCTGCAAGCGTTGAGCACTTGGCCTTCCCAAGCTCTGCTTCCCCTGTTGGGCCCTCACCTTTAGCCGTGCCTGCGGTCCTCAAATGCAACAGCTCCTGGACTCCTGGACCAGGCCACATTAAAGCTCGCGGGAATTTAGCGACTCTGGAGCTCAATACAGACGTCCAAAATCTCTTGAACAGCTTGATGAAATTCTGTATCTTTGATGGCCAGTCTCTGGGAGAGCGAACGCAGTGAGTTCTGGATCGTGGCTCACAGCCTCGTAGGTCCACCGCATATGTGGTGTGGCTAACACGACAAGTCCAAACGGAGGGGATGCGATCCGTTGATCCAGGAGTGCCCAGCCTGCCCAGCCTGCTGGCTGCCGAGGCAGCCACTTCCGGGAAACCATACATGCGTGTCTTCGCGCAGCAAAGACCGCGGAAAATTCAGGCAAACTACATAATCGAATAATTCGTTGTAATACTGTATTGTCGTGCAACCCCCGTGTGTTTGCTTTTGCTTCCTACTTAACCCCTGTGCGGTCTCACATTCTATATGTACATGACTGATGCCATTGGCTCATGGCTCACTTCAAAGTGAATCCAGTGAATACTTGCTTTGCACGCTTTCGCACTTGTTCCACTTGCATTCGCATGGTCCCTTTCTGGACCTCTGAGATAGCGGCAGCGTTCCGCGTCACCAGGGGAACCACTGCGGAGTATGGCAGTGCCAAGTGTGTATCCCCAAAAAGGACAAGGCCGCCATCATATGGAAAGTGTCTCGTTACGAAAACAACGCGTTTGCCAATATGCATGTGTGAGTGTCCAAGAATCACATGCAAACATATGTGGCAGGCGCCGTGTTTCCTGCACTTCCGAGAAGCCCCTACGTGAGTTATAGGAGGTTCATCTGGACCCACATGATCTCAGGATACTTTCTTAGCTCCAAATAGCCCTTGGTCCCTCAAAACCTATGGATTTGAGACCCCAGACGCCTCCATATAAGGGTCCCTCTGCATATGAGGGTCCATTGTTCATGAGCGTCTGGGTACGTATAAAGATGTATATACATCTATGAGTTGTTTGATTTTGGACATCTGAAACTTCTCTCCCAGCTGCGATGGTGTGTTCCAAGTCGGTGAGGCCCACCAGATCGTCCTGGTCCGCATCGAAGAGGCCTGAAAGCGGGTTATGGAGTACAGCATGTATATACATGTATTTCGACCTGTGGTTATTGGATCATGTCCCAGTTTCTAAGATGCTTTGGAGGGTCCAGGTACCAGCTTATAGGCTCATATCATCTCATATCTCATTTTCTAGGGTCCCACCTGGAGGTCCAGGTGGAAGGGAATGGTCATCCACCCGCACAAACGAGCGTACAAACGATATCACCCTAGGGCTCTAACTACCTCCTGAGAAGGTAGCTAGAATGGGTTAGCGGATGTTAGCGGGGTCTAACTACCTTCTGAGGAGATAGGCCGGGAGACCAAGAGTCACTGAGAGTTCCGTAGCCATCTTTGCGTCTATCTCCCGGGAAATCGACCGCTCAACTGGCCGGAGGTGAAAGTACTGCCACTTGGTAGACATGCACAAACATCCGATCGCCAAGGAGTGCCTGCAGCCAAGAAAGCACAATCTTTGGTCAAAGTGGGATGGTCAACCCAGATTTACTGAAGAGAACTTGTAAACCTCTTTCAACGTTCTTGAGGTTCTTCTTGGTCATTACGGCCTGACACCTGTGAACTTTCAGCACTGATCGGAGATCCCGCCAACAAACTGGTCCAAGACTTGTTCCAGATTTAACAATCAGTATGCTTTATAATGTTGGTTTCCATATACGTATGGCCTTAAAGGACAATCCTCATCCCCCACTAATTGGAAATGTGATACATATGTCATCGTATGTCACATATCTTACCATATATAGTAGCATAATTTATCAAATACAATATGTATCCTGGATAAATACGTTCTTCTCCCGGACTTCTTCTCCCAGTTGTTTTTCTTCAGCCCCTTCATCTTTGGGCATGCCTGGAGTCGACCTGTTCGTACCTCGGAAAAGGAGTCCAAGTAACCAGTTGTTGTTAGGGCCTTGTCCCATTTTCAATTGTACGAACTGCAGAGTCCAGGTAAATCCAAGGTTGTGATCCCAATTCCTTTCCTCCACTGGATTGATCAAAGTTTGGAACTCCTGTGTTTTCACGTCTTCCAAGTCCTGCTGTAAGAAATATGCTGCTGAAACCACCCGCGAAAAGACAAACACCCACGCACAAAACACCCTGGGTGTTCCCATCTGCTCCCATACCATCTCAGCCTCCTCGGCTGAAACAATCAAGCGAGCGCCGACTCCACGTGTCCGTCGCCCCTCAAACCCCGCGCATCGGCGTCGATCTGCGCTCGCCTCGATCTGCGGACCGCTCCACGCCGAGCGGCAAAAGAGGAGCTCCAGGAGCTCGGTCGCATCACCCTTCATCAGAAGTCCATAGAGGCCCAACACCTCATAGCCTGACGGTGCGGTGCGGGCCCGGTTGGCAAGTATGTCTATATGCTAGGGCTGCAACCACCTCCTGAGAAGGTGGTTGGGGTGGGTTTGGGGGGTCTAAGCCTGACCAAAAGGTTAATGTTCCCTGTTCGTTTGCGGGGTCTGTAAGGAGTCACTTCATGGTGGAATTCTTCCGGGTCTGAAAGGATTCCTTTCAGTGGATTCTTATCCAGGTCTTTCGCGTCCAGGGTCTTCGGATTGATCTATATGGGCTGCAGACAAATCAAGGATAAACCGGTTTGGGGGGTCTTCGGAACGCCCTCTGATGCTCCGAACGACTGTGGAACGAACCAACTGGAGAGGGAAGACACGGTAAGACTCTGGTGCAGCAGCATGTCAAGCACTGGGGCAAACAAAAAGCCTCTGAGAGCCCCGGAAGGTACCGTCCTCAGCACAGATTCGAGCACCAAACGAATATTCTAATCGGCTAAACGGCTAGACTTCCAAGATCTGGAAAAACCATTGATCATCATCGATCTTTGAAGCATCTTCTTCATCCTCTGAGCACCGCTGACCAGGTCGCGCGGGTTCGCGCGACCTAAGCCCAAAGCCCTGAGGTCCATTTCGCCGACACCACCCCGTCTGGGACTGCCATCTGCCCGAGAAAAGGCCAGGGGTGGTTGAAAAAGGTTCTGGCGGGCGGCATACCTTCCAGTCTCTGACAGGTCGAGCACCAAAGAAAAAGGGCCCCCGAGAGGACCCATGAACATATATAGATGCCTGTACCAGGACCGCACAAGGGGTGAAGGACACCCCGAATCACCCCGAAATAGGGAAATAAATAGATACCCCAAACAGGGGGCCTGGTACCGGTCTATAGATAAACACCGATTCATAGCATCTCATTGACCAGTTTCAAACAAGAGAGGGTTGCAGCTACCTCTTCTTTGGGCCCTGCAAACACGTTAAATCAATAGGATGATAATTATGCCAACGATGGTTTTCCTCTTTATTGTGGGCCAGTCAACCTCTCCATCAGAAGCCTTCATGGGGGCCCTCCAACGCAGGCCACGGAGACAGCAGCCGAGACGCAGGTCAACAGCTTCCGCCGTAGCTGCTTCTCATCCTCGGCCAAGCGCTGTGCTTGGCCCAAATGGAAGAGTCGCCTCCAAAGCGAATGCGATTCGGGTGAATGGCCTCAATGACTTGAATGGCTCGGGGCTACCTGGGTCGTTCCCAAACGCCGAAGTCTGCTATAGCTGGGTGTCCAGGTCCCAAACATCGAATTGCCAAGTCTGTGGAAAAGACATCCATCTGGCCCTAGTTTCTGGGAGCACACCATGATGATGTGTATGGTGAGTTCTCTCTACTGTACGTGGCACCATTTATTTATACAACTGGTTCCTATTACAAAGACAAACATCCACTATCATCATCTATCATCCACTATTATAGTTAATCCGTATATAGTTGATCCCTTCTTTGGAAGTTGCCACATGACAACATGATGCAAGTTTTCTACAAAAGAACAAGTGCCACCTGCTCAACGCCCGCGCAGAAATTCTACTCTTTGTGTGCCACAGTGGGGACGCGCATGGTCGAGCCTATAGATGGGTTGTGCATCAGGAAGACGCGGATCCAATGGCAGCACCTGCAGGGCGTTGTCCCGGAGAAAGCCTTCGTCCTGAGTCACGGACAGATGTTGGGTTGTATCGCTGCTGGTGGAGCAGGGTCTCCTTCTCCGGGTTTGCTTCTACGAAAGAGAAGGTCCCCACTGGTTCCTCACTGAAGACTCCACGGACTGAACCAGCAAAGGGTGGTCACAGTGGTCTATGAGACGATCGACCTGGAGGGGTTCAAACCCTGGATGGCAGTCCGGACTGCCATAGATCAATTGACCCCCCTGGCACCCCTGGCCTGATCGGCATCGCAGTCCGGTCCGGGAAATTCGTGTACATCAAACAACACAATTACCTCGAACTTTGTTACGGCCCAAATTATTGCCTCGGGAGTCCGTGAGGAGGGCCGGTCATGAGTCATGGCCCACTTTTTACAGGGTACAGAGGGGTTTTGGACCCTAGGGACTTGTGGAGTCCCAAGGGACTTGCAAACTGGCACCTGGATCCCTATCTTCAAAGAGTCATCCGCCAGGTACTTCCAGTGAACCCGTTAAGTGTCTTCCCTTCCAAAAACAAGGTCATCAAGAATCGCACTCAGAAGCGAAGACTTGGAAGAATCATATGAGGGGTGTCAAAAACCATCCGGAACTTTTATTAAGATTATAACAACCTTTCGCCAATCCCTTCGCAACGCTTTCGCGGCTGCATGTTTTGCTTTCGCCGACCCACTTCACCCGACAACCTCTTTAGCTAACCCTTTCGCCGAGTTTCTGCTACTTAATGCTACTTACATCTAAGAAAAGTATCAGCATGCATCAGCAAAGGGGAATCATTCCTCATCTGCAACCACTGCTTTCGCCACATCTTCGCGAACCTTTCGCCAACCTTTCGCCTGGTTATCATGAATCTTTGGATGACATGCTTTGTACTGAAAACCTCTTCGCCAACCCTTTCGCAACAAAAGCCATTCATCAAAAAATCAGAGCCTTTCTCCAAACCTTTCGCCAAGCTTTCCCCAACTGCAGTTTTCCTTTCGCACAGATTCATAATCTTGAGTCCTACCTAAATTCTTTCATAGAGGTTTATGACGTTGCTCATATGTCAAAAGCCATAGGGAGACTTGGAAGAACCACATTTTGAGTGTGTACTTTGCTGTACTTACCACACAAAGGGAGAACCGGCCGGCTCAATGGGTAGATGGTATCCTTCTTTGAATTTCAAGGTGAACTTGGATGGACCATTCTCTACTTAGAAAGAACGGGGCATTCACTTTTGACCCCTTTTCTACGGAACCTGGGCATGTAGATGGTTATTTTCTCCCCTGCAAGGTTAGACCGGACGCTGGGCTCTCGGACGCCTTCACGCTGGATGGCCTGCGCGGGACACACCGGGCGAAAAGCATCGGCGGTGGGACCCGGAAGGCCCGTTGTTTGCTTTCTTGTTTGCACAGACTGGCCAGTGTGATGTTTTAAACATATATAGTCTTCCACTCAAGAGAAGGAAAACGATGGTTGAGGATCGATGAGGATTGTATGTCTATACCTGTTTTGTGGGCAATCTACCAGATCTAATGTTCTAGCCTTCCGATTCAGCCAATGCATCCCAATGCAAGACCGCAGCGGTAGCAAGATGCTAGCTTTCGTGACAAACTGCTTGGACTTCAACTGCATGCGACATGTACAATTGCAACATCATCGGACCACCAAACAAAACATGACCAGGACTCCGAGTGAAGGGATCGTAAGGGATCTTGAGATCGCTCCAAAGACCTTTTCAGGAGGTACTTCGACCCTCCAAACCAATCCCAAAGACCAAAGGCCTGAGGCCGACACGAGGCGTTTGGAACTTGGAACCCTAGGGTCTTTCGATCGGTCAAAGTCGAGTACCCATGATTGCCAGTGTTCAAGATGCTTGGAGGCTGGGTCCCTCCAGTCACCTACTAGAAACTCCCCGCGTTCACTTCCAGTCTGAGGGGTCTCTGAACTCTTGGCACAGTGGATCAGTGGACGACATAAGAAGGCCGCCGTTTCTCAGTGCAAAAAATCTGCTTATGACTACTTCTTGTCCACCCCTTCCTCACTTTATTCAAAAAATGCCCTTCCTCTGCTCTCTACTGTTGAAGATATGCGCCGTTATCCCACCTTCACCTCCCCCGAACAAACACCCCAAAGACTGAACCCTCTTTGGAACGAGACTGGCACAGACTCGCACCGAAGTCATGGACAAACGTCCCGGACATCCTGGGAGTGGAACGATGTCCGAGCGCTCGCGGCATAATTAATAGTTCTGAACATTTTCTCCAGCCGTTGACTCCCTTTGCCAGGAGATCCCGAAAAGAAACATTAGATTCCAAGCAGCTCAGGCTTGTTAGGTATTTTGGGTGCTACATTTGGGACCATAAATACATCCTTCTGAGGAGGTCCGGTTCTCCACTGCACTGGGTCGGCGAAACGCGCGAAGCGCGGCGTTCGCCTCTAAAGTCTGCCGGAGCTCATTGCAGGTGGCCAAGCCCAAGCGCTGCACGAGCAGGTCTTCAGGATCCTGGTGAGACATGGTGATGATGGTGACAAATGCCTTGTAATACCGCCATGATGGTGGTAACCTGTCGGCAGTGGATGGCACTGGCCGAGGAACACAAGTCCACCACCGGTGATGTCTTGCCTGTCATCTGGTTCCCCCGTTCGGTGCGTCGACGGCGGACCGTTCCGAAGAAATGGTCCGACGCCGAACATGCCATGGCGTCATGCCTTCGAGTGGTGACTCACACGGCTTCAATGCTTGACTTTCACTTCTGTCTAGTCTCCAAGAACAAACACAAAAAAGAATACAAAACCGTTTCTGGGTGCCACAGGCAGTAAGAGATGTAACATATGGCGAACCAAAAGAATACGAGCTCCAAGGAAGTTCGATTTTTGCAGGGCCTTCAGTTGATCTCGGAGTCTATGACCTGTCTAGACCTATTGGTGACCTCAAATACGATATCAAGTTCGGCTTCGAACGGAAGAACGGATAGACAATGGTTCTTATTTCGGGGGGGTCCTTCATCGGTAGGGCTATAATGGATGAATAGGTTCATCTACTTTCAGCAGCCCTCACCCCTGTTTTGTGGACATCTCTGGTCTCTAGATCAGGCATTCACACGTCTAAGATCAAGCACAAACAAACAGTTGATGATAAGAAATCACACCACCAAACCTGAGCAGTGCCAAACATAACAGACCCTGCCATGAAATTAAATAATCTTAAGTTTCAAGAACCATGGACCAGTTTGACAAGTTCGCAAATGTTTGGTAGGGGTCCACTGCTCTTCAACAATCTATCGTGAAGCGAACCTAGGTTCAGCAGAAGCCTTCTTCTACCAAAACAAACACGTCAGCAAACTAACTATAGGTTCACACCTCGACTCAAATGGCTCGAGGTCGACAACCACCCAAATTGGGCAGCAAGATGTAGCAAGATGCATCTTCGCTCCTGTCTCGGCTTCCGGATTCCCGCCTCCAAACTTGCCCGGAATTGCTCCCGCGGGCCCACCAGTGCGCAGGGCCTGACTGCTCCAAATTGAGCTCGATCCCACCGCTGTTCCTATTATCGGGATATATATATACATACCCTGAGAAGGTGATGTTCTCGACACTGTTATAGTTTATGTAGGTTTGGAGTTTGGAGGGTCCAATTGTACCTTCTGTGAAGGTACGGCGGCAAGATCCCTTAGGGCTTCTGTGAACTGAGTCGCTTCGATCGACTCCCTGTGATGATGATCCTCGAAGTCCGAGATCATCGGAGGAATTGTATGGTCGTGGTACCCGAGTCGCCCAACTGCTTGGAAAGGGTCATATAGTGGTGGTTTTTTTCCCATGTTCTATCGGGTACGAGTCTAGGTGGACAAAAATCAACGTTCCACCTCTCCGACTCTTGATGTCTCCAACTCCCCATGCCAGGGTGACCTGCAGGATGTCCATGTATATACTTCCCGAAGTCGGGAAGTGGCCCGGTGACCCGGTTTGGTCAATGGAGGTCTTCTGCAGATGGGATGAGGACGCATGGTCCCATGGTCAACCCAAAATGAACCACTGGAGGTTCGAGTTCCTGGAACCTCAAAGGACTCCTAGAAATGCCGACCGTCGCACCAGCATTTTGTTTGGGTCATGTCCCATTTTTCGAGGCTACGAACGAAGTCAGGTCCAGGTTGTTCTTTGGAGGGATCAAACCATTTCGAATATGAATTTCTGGTCTACGGGCCGTGGTGGTGGTATTTTTTCCTCAGCAAATCTCTGCACAATGGTCCGAGCCTTATGCAGTGGTAAAACAGGCATATTTTGTGTTCTGCTTCATCAAGAGCTTGTCAATCTTGCAAGTGACTTTATTAAGTTAATCCATGGTGAACAAAAGATGAACACCAAACAAATCTGTCCAACAAATGAAGGCCTCCAACCACCGATATCGACCTCGAAGCAAAAACACCTCGACCTCGACATCTTCGACTTGACCCAAAAAGTCTTCAACATTGAAATCCCTACAGAGGTTAAGTGACCTTATAGGACCCTACAGGGGTACCTATATATATGGTAGTCCATAGGGTTCTTTCCCCCCAATGGCCTCCGACGGGTACCTTCTTCACCACCGGACGCGACCGGCGCCGGGCCTGCGACCGAAGAGGAGTCGTCGTGGGCGTGCCAGAGACTTTTTCTTTGCCTCCTCCGTCGCCTCCGAAATACGGCAGCAGGACTTTGGTCGGGGAAGTACTTGTACGTGGGCCAAGGTATACACCTTTTGAAGGCTGATAGAAGATGAATCTGTTTTTTGTTCAATCAAGTAAAGCGAGCAATCTCAAGTCTGCAAATGTTAATCCGCCGACCCTGGTCTAGGCGGATGAACGTGAGCGTGAGCGGTCCGGTGAGCGTCGGGGCGATGTCACTCTGCCGTCACATTCACAAATATCTGCCAAAAAATTGAAATTGCCATATATATATAATATATATATATACCAGGACCCACAAGGGGTGGTTAATGGACACCCCTCAACCTCTTAGGGGGTCCTGGATGGTCCTGGTATATATGCATTAATTCTAGTGCCTGGGTGACCGTCAAGGTCTTTTTTGCAGGACAAACGTTGCCCAGGCCATGGCGCCGGGTTCGGTTTGGCCCCTGCGTGCTTCACTCCTCCCGATGACCGTACTAATATTAGCCATAGAGGAGATAGGGTTTAGCATGTCTTTAAGCGTTTTCTCTTTGGTTTCTGCGCAATTTTGCGGTGGCCATAGCCATCCAGCTAGGCTGCTAGCTAGTCTGCCAGCTCAAGAAGGTCGCAAGAGCTCAAAGGGCGTCACAGTCGCGTGAGCAGTACTGAGAAGTCGCAAGTCACTTATTCAAACGCTGATTCTCGGTTGGCTGCCTTGAAGGCTTAAGGGTTGATACCCCAAATCTCCCAAACATCATATACTTGACGCAGGGATCAATATCTCCTAGAACCCTGCACCCAAGTTCTACAAACATAGAACCAACATGGCTCTATGTTTGTAGAACTTGGGTGCAAGTTATCCCAAACATCGATCAACCTTCCCTTCAAACTCTTCACTCTGAGGTGCAGCTTTGACCTGTCTTAGAGAGAGATTACTCCGCAATAATCTGTCATGTGAGTGGCCTGCTACCCCAACAGCTCGGCAGGAAAATTGCATTCAATACATATGAAGAAGTGGTACACCTGCAGTTTGAAGGTACCTCGGCAAATGGGTACAAGTTCCTGTTTTTGTTGAGTCATGTGCCATTTTCCAGGGTACTTGAAATTACTTGGAGGGTCATGGAGGGTCTAGGTATCTTTACTTATGGTTCTGGAGGGAAAACAGCGCTCCTGAATCAGGACTGAAGCGTCAAACCTGTCCACAACGTGGTTTGCCCATGGAAACTGTTCCATACCTGCACACTCCAACTTACTGCATCTCTTTCTTTGGGGCAGCTGGAGCACCTTTTACAACACAAAGCAAACTCAAACCCTTGAAACACCATGTTGCAATGGGAATCCTCTTCCAGGACAGATTTGTCCAAAGCAGGGTCAACCCCTTGTGCACCGTGGGGTCCGCCACTTCAAGGCCATAGCGACGTCCCAGTCGCCATGATCGAAACCCAGCGACGTCCCGGTCGCCGGCCTGGGTGGCTTTCTTCGAAGCGCCACCACCCATGGCTCCAGCGGACGAGAAGCCGTCGTTTACGACTCTCAAGCAGTCATCACATGTGTATTTGGAGCGCTTGGCTCGGTATTTTGTGAGACCAATCGGGTGCCGGATTGATTGGATTTGCTGCAAAGTGCATCAAAGTGCGTCATCCACTTGGGCGTCTCGTTTTTGTGTTCATCTTTCAGTCTCAACATTCGGGTGTCATGTTCTGGTCGTGATCGTGGTGCCTTCATCGTTCAAATGCCAAAAAGACCGTAACTGTTGCAGCACTAGCTTTACTCCTGTTCGCATCCACCTGTTTGCATCTCGTAGGACAAAATATCATGAACAAGGAAACACACACACACACACACCCAAAGGCTTTATACTTTTCCTGGGTAGATCCATCTCCGTCCTTTCGTTTGTGTTGCTAGGAAGAATATCAACAACATCCATCCAAATCGCATTTGGACATTTTTACTCATGATGTCGCCCTTCACTTGATCGAGCCCAGATGTCGGATTTCGTGGTGATTGCTGGCCTCCAAAGGTCCTCACAGAACTTGGAGCTCCTGGGGTCTCAGTTGGAATTCCAGTCTACAACTGCCATGTTACTTTATAGGGTCTGACGACTTCCTTCGTACCCGAAGGACAATGGGACTTCGGAGACGAGTCCAAGAAAAATACAACAGAGAGGTACGTCGAGTCTCAAAAGTACATCATCAATTCCGAAAACGGCAACCAGTATACCTGTTTTAAAGAGGGTCGTAGTCTACTCCACCAGAAATTGCTCTGAAAGCTCGAAGACTTCAAGGAACCGATCCAACGGTAGGATCGAAACAGAACAACGTCTCGCCACCTATAATTCTACCCCCGCAGTCCCAGGCTAACCTTCTCAGAAGGTATCTAGATCGACAGTCGAAGTGTTTCTTCAAACAACCAGTTCTCGCGAAAAGCATCTAGACCCTGTTCTTTAACACACAACATACATAAAACCACCGAAAGCATTGGTGCTAGCTGCTACCACTGTAAAGTTTACCTCCCCATTGGATCTAAGATGATCCACCTGCCGACCTGTGGTTCCGGTCTGCCCCATCCAGCGCTCCAAAGGTCAACAGCAAATGCTTGCCACTATGCCGAACAAATGAATCATATTAATGTGCAATGTTGGATTCCGTATTATGGCACCGATATCGAACTCGTCTCCATGAAAAAAGGATCCGGGAAATCGAGTCTCAATTCTGGATCTCCCAGGTTTTGTGTCTTGGGGCTATGCCACGGACCCTGCGGCAGCATGCCTTGCCACGAGGCCCACATCCGAAAGGAAGGACCAACGCCGCAAAACCACCCATCTCCCAAGCACCGAAATGGTTGGTAGGCCAGGAGCTGTAGGGTCACCATCTTCCATGAAGCATGTCTGCCTCTTGGGTTGGTTTAGAGCATGTTGCATAGTTGGTGCATAGTGCATAGTAAAAACAGAACAAATATAAATTCAAACTAATATGTGTTCAAACAAGTAGAGCAAAACATCAGAACACATATAACCACCTTGTTAGTCCCTCCGTATGCCGACTAGTCTCCAGTTGGTGTCTTTCAGGCCATGTGGGCGATTTTGACGAAATGGATGGCATGGACCCAATGTAGTCTGACTACTTTCCTCTACAAACAGGGGTGACCTCAACTTCCATGCTAGTGAGTCAAGTGGTAGATTGACTTGCAACTGAACGCCACAACCCACTTCCACTGCCTCGCTGCGCTTCAGCCGCTCACTACCGGCCTGGCTTCGACGGCCGGGGATGGGTCCATGCAGGAACCACTGATGGATGGATGTCACACGAAGTTCCTGAGCCCCCTTTCCCACAGACCCATTTCCTCTAAACCTCTCTAAACCTCTCTAACATTTTAGAGTGAGGATACTTGGTGGTGGTTTCCATTCACCAGTCTGAAACTTATCTAAACCTACCAAGCATTTGTTTGTCACAAGTACTGAGGATGGATTTCAGGGCAGACTTGCTAACCTGTGTTCTAAGGTTCAGGAGGAATGAGGGCGGAATCGATCAATTTGCTGAAGGATACAATACCTTCGGATTTCAGAGGCACTTGCACACGATGAGAGTCAGACGTAACTATATATCCTTGGTATTCCTTTGTGGCTTTTAAAACTTTGTGCAAACAGCAACTTTAGAATAGAAAAGATATGAAGAAAGTCAGGTGAGGCCCCTTTCCTTGGCCTTCCTTTTTTCATCTCTTGCTTTCTTCAACTAGAACTAGTCACGATGAGGCATGAGTTGGAGCACAAGTGGACATTCACAGAGTGGCTCCCAGAAGCGCGAAAAGCGTTTCTCATTGGCGACTTCGACAATTGGGAGCCTTGACTCAAATAAGTATATAGTTTCAAACATTTTTCTGCAACATCGAGTTAGTGCCTTGAAACTCAGCCTGATCCCTTTGCTTGGAACCTTTGTTTGAGCGCACACTGGATGAAAGGAGAACATGCATCCCTTGCAACCAGGCCTGCCGGTTGCCAAATGAATTAGTAGGTTGAAAGATAGAATAAATAAGTTCAGCCACCCAGAGAAGCAGGTTTTCCTTTTCTCCTTTGCATTTTTGTGGAGTTGTGGGTTTAGATTTGAGCTGGCCAGCAAGGCTGTAGGCATTTGTTTGTGGGTGTTTGTTGGAGGCTATCCCTCACAGGCTTTTGGCAAGTCACACGGTGAGGCTAATGTACTTTACCTGAATAGAATTCCCTTTGACACGGGCACAGCACAACGACGTGGCACAAGTCCGGCATAAGCCAGTACGGAGCATTTGGCGGGAGGTATATTCTACCTATGTATATATATATACATACATATCTATAGACTATACTGTGCTATTATGTTTATTAGTATTATTACTATTACTATCATTGTACAACAAGGCACGCAAGGAATTAAAAACTGTAAAAATGCAAAACGGTAAAAATCTCCACACAGCCAGTGTCTGCGATAAAGCGGTAAAACCGTAAAACGGTTAAAAGCTCAAAAACAGTAAACTTATTCAGCCAATCTCGTCAGCAATCACTCCAGTAGTTCCAGTGGTTCCCACATTTGCATCACGTGGGCAAACTCATCTTCAAGTGAATCTCAAGTGAACCTTTAGTAGCTAGTAAATCATTGGCACACATGGCCAGCCAAACAAAATGCTAAATGAAACATTTTGCTTCCTGTGGTCCTTTATGGATGGGCTTGTTGAAGTAAACACAGTCTCACTCTCATCCGACAGCTGGGAAGTGAAGACTGCAATAGAAGAATCACATGTGAATGCAATGCTCTGTTGATTGAAACGTGGCATCACCCTCGTCCGCAGCACGCTCTGCCTCCAAACGACGCTGAGCATAAGGCGGGCGGAAGTTTCGATAGAAGCCAAGCGTCACCCTTGATCCACTCCACCCACGCAGCCTTTGAGTTTTGACTTCAGAACTGCGTGCGCTGCCGGCTCGGCTATACGCAACCTGGCTTGTACTTCGTATGAATTCGCGGGGCCTACTGCTCTAAGTACCGCTTGCCGATGTTGCTTTGCTCAGAGCTCTGCATGGCTTTGTTGGACATATCCGACGCGTCCGCGCTTGCTGACCCAGGTGCAAAATGGTCTTGCAGCCATGCTCCAGAATGACCAAACGCTGACAACGCGCCACATAGTTTATATTTTCTTCAGGCAACATGTGCGCCTTTGCCAAGTAAATTTCCTTGACTCCTCCAGATTCGCCCAGTGACTGAATAAACTCAGACTCAGTTACTTCAGCTTCGTGTGAAATGCCACGGCTTTCAAGGACTCCAGAGTTCATGCAAGCCGATTGCGTGGTTGAAGGCGTCAACTTGTCATTTTTGTTTCCCCTGGCTTCCAATCGCAAGGCATCATCTTCAACGATCTTGTTGTCAGGGAATGTTTGGATCAATGTGTACTCTAAAATTTTAGAGGAAGTGGGTCTGTGGCCTCATTCTGCTTGGGGATAGCTATTTGGACCCTACCCTACAGCCTTCTACCTGGCACCAACTCTAAAACACTCTAATTTTTTAGAGGAAGTGGGTCTGTGGCCTCTTTCTGCTTGTGAATAGCTATCTGCACACCCTACAGCATTGTACATGGCACCAGCTCTAATGAGTTCACCTTGAAGACAACTTCCCTCTAAAATCATCTAAAATCTTAGATAGTCTTAGAGTAGAAATGTTAGTGTCTCTTGACATCAAGTTGTTTTAGATACTGTAAGTTTAGAGTGCTTTGGAGTTGTTTTAGATATGTTTAGATAAATATCTAAGATCTTAGAGGAAGTGGGTCTGTGGCAAGCGGGGCTCACAAACCTTCTCTGAGGATATCTAAAACCATCCATGTCCGTACCTCAGAACTTGGGCACTTAAGGCTCCCCTTTGGTTTTTGGGCGTAGTGTTTGGAGTCCTTGGGTCCAGGGTTATGGGTTTGGGGATGAGTTCGCACCTGCATGGAGCACTTTGATGGTAGCAGCAGTAAGATCATCTTCACATCTATGCCGCCTAGCAGGCTTTTGCAATGCGCTCAACCTAGCGCTTTGATGGCGCTCCGTTGTAAGCAGCTTGTAAGCGAATCCAGCGTCTTTGAGGCTCCCTCGTTGGAGTTGGTGATTTTGGATCCCTCGTCCTTTTTGCAGGGATGTCCGGGCGATCCCTACCTGCACCCTCCAAAGTGCCTTAGAAAATGGGACATGACCCTAACAAAAAACAGGTATGTATATACTTGATGGTACGACTGTACCCCTTTTCCCCAGGTACGAACTGAGACTGGTCGGTCGCCCGAAAAGAACTCCCCACGAGTGGGGAGCTGGCGATCGCTGCGGTGGACCGCCTCTGATTCGGTCCGGGTCAGGCTCCGCTCCAATCGGTCGAGCGGTTGAGATGGGTTTCTTTGGACTTGAGCGGTTTCTGGCCAAAAAGGTGGGATGTTGGCAGATCCCAACGGTAGATTGTTTCAGGGAGAAGACTTGTCGAACCCCGTCTGAGACAGCATGCGCAGTCCGGAATCCCCTCATGTGGGCGGTCGTGCCAGACCACTCCGTAGACAGCATGTGCCAAGGGTTTTCACTGTGAAAGAGTGAAAGACACCAAAAAAAACTTAAAAATGCTGCCGTTCAATCGCTACTTCAAGGACAAAAACCTTAAAACATGTTCCCATTTTAGGGTTCGTGGGACCTGACAGGTCTCAATTTACCCGAGAAGCTGCTGACCAGGAATCCGTCACAAACCAGATCAACCAGGACCTTCAGTTCGTGACCTCTTACGAGCCTCTGTTTGAAATCAGAGACCAGGGATTTGTACTGACCCTGACCTCAACCTCGGATCTCGAGAGTGGGCCCTTTGAATTTGCTGGACCATGGGTAGCTTCTTCATGCTTCTTCCCAGGTCCCTTCCTCCCGCTGGCCAGATCTACGAAGCTCAGCTTGCCAGCAGTGCGCAGTTGGCCTAGGTGGGACGGAGTGTGCAGGACCCGGTCTAACGTACATCCTGGACCAAAGTCGCCAAGTCGCCAAGAGTCGTTTTTTGATTTTATTTGGATCTCCTACTTCTATCAGCCTGACTTGTTGTGTAGAACAACAACGGGTATCTGTAGTAGGTTCTAGCCGTTAGCCTTGGATCATGACAACCATTTGCTTGCTTGCTCAGTCTACAAAACTAATTCTCTTAAAGCACCTCCAGAAACATTAAAAATACCTATACCTAATGGGAAAAGGCGCCTTTGTCAATGCTTAGGGGTTCTTGTCCCCACTTGGCGTTCTTGTCCTTTTGGTGGCAGTAAGGATCCACCCACAACCGGTTCTAGGAGTTTCGACAGCGATGACCATCATTTGTATATCCGGAAGTCGCTTGATGCTTCACTTACTTTTTTTGGTGGTTGTTTTGTGTTTCATTGTTTTAGCATCTTTTTTGCGTAGGCGTTCTTGCCCGTTACCTAGGCGTTCTTGCCCGTTACTTGGACGTTCTTACCCCTTCGACTACAATGAATAGTTGGCTGGACAAAGAAAGGGTATCCTTTTGAGAGGAGTGAGTGATACGAGTTTCAAATACATTGGATCGGGGACTAGCATCAGTAGGTGGCAAGCGTTTGTTTCCTCGAAGTTTGTTCATTCAAATTCAGGTTCTGCCTCTTGCACATAAGAATGCACGTAATTGTTCCTCGGCGATTTTAACTCTCAAAACTGCAGCTTAGGTGTTCGTTGCAAAAGTAGGCTTCCTAAGGAAGAAGTAATGGTATCCTATTGACATCAGGGATTCTCCGATGGTGTTCTTGCCCGGTCGCAAAAGGCCAAAAGAAATACATCACGACCAAGGAGGTGGACATGCCGAGAACTTCTCCAAAGGCAGGTAAATATCACTCAAAGTCAGCTCCTTCCTAAGATAACATGAATTGAGTATTGCAACATTATATAATCTTAATGTGACAAAATAATATTGTCCATATACACATCCATCTCATTTGCAAACCAAAGAAGGATGCGATGCGAAGCGTTCTAAGCAGAGTTCGATCGCGAGGTCGTCATGCATCACGCTGAAAAAGGGCCTGTGTGCACGTCGCGAGTGCCCAAGAAGAGCATCATCACCAGGTGAGATCTCGAAGACCTGGCACTTCAGTGCATCACCCAGACATGATTTACATGGGACTGGCATATATTTACATACCTTCACCCCAGGTCAACCAGCCCCAATTTCGGTAACTATTCCATATATGGAGTTTTTTGGTTAAGGGAAACTCTGGATTGTGTGGGTCCGTAGCTAAAATAGGTGGTGGCACCCAAGCTAGGTCCTCTCATCGAACTTAATTCTCACGAGCGATGTTGGAGAGAAGGAAAAGACCCATCAAAGCCGTGATGTTGGATGTCCCATGCGACTCACTGCAGAAGAAAGGCTCATCACACTATGTCTCGCTCCCCTCAGTGGGACTCAGCAGCTGCAGAAATTCAAGGATTTGGTACGTGCTGCTTCACGACCAGCGGGCTGCTCCAAAAATTCATCAACCAGGTCGACCAGTGGACCAACCTCGGAGAGGTCAAGAATCTCCCGATGTTCTCCACCTTAGAATTCAATTAATAGCTTCTTGTTACTACTAGTAAGGCACCTGTTACTACTAGCGAGGCACTTGTTTCTACTAGCGAGGCACTTGTTCTCCACCACAGCCGCTCTTCCTCCGCTTTTTGGGTTCCGCGGCATGGACCGGTCTTCGGTCCGATGTCGGCCACTGGATGGACGGCGAAGTCGGCGCGTTCCTGCGGCGTTCCTCGTGGCGGGGCGAAACCAGGGACGAAGCCGAGAGTTGTTGAGTTGAGGAGGATGGGCAGATGCAACGATCCTGGGATGGGATTGGAGATGACGAAACGATGACAGGTGAAGTGTTCTGAAGTTCTGTCATGTTCTGTTGAAAGCCTATCACTACAGTCAGTTACGCTGGCTTCAGGAGTAAACATATTCGATCCAGGAATCGAGGGGAACCATTCTAAAAGGTTCCTGTGATGGTTCCCTCACAATTCTGAAGCTCCACCGGAAATTCAAACGAGCTGCGGGTCAGTAAAGTTGTGCATTGTACGTTTCAAATCCAAAACAACCCCTAGGCCCTAGGGCTCCTGGCCCACCTTCTCAGAAGTTAGTTACCACCCAACCCACCCCAACCACCTTCGAAATAGAGGTAGTTGGAGCCATAGGGAACCCGTTGTTCCTTCTCATTTGGGACCCAAAAACAACTGCTACATGGGCGGACAAGGTTGGGGTTGCGGTCACCCCGACTGCTTTTGGGCTTTCAATTGAGCAGCGCAAGAGGTATAACTGGCATGTTTGACCGCCCAAGATGTATTCGCTCCAGTCACGGGAATAACAAACAGTTAGAACATCAACAGAACATCTTCAATACAGCACTGAAAGTTGGATTAGAACCACTACGTGCAAACACAACCAACCAACAGACTTTGGCTCATTGTAGAAGTTGCTTGCTTTCATCAGTGAGTGACCCCTTGAGCCAATAAAGAACAGCCTCAAGGATCCACCGTCCCGAATCTAAAAAACATCTAAGTCCTTACAATATCTCCTAACTTTAGCTGCTTCCCCCTAAGCAGCACACAACTACGACTACAACTAGTAAAAAACCAGCCACAACCCCAACCCGTTGCCCCTCAGTTGCCGCGCCAGGCTCGTCTCCGAATCACCGCGCCATCGCCACTGCGCCAGGAGCTGCAAAGCCACTTGCCACACGGCAGCCTTTTCGCAACAGCTGATCAGGCTGCTGTAGGTGAAAGCCTCGGCCGAGGGCTTGCAAGGCCTGCATCAAATGGAAAAGGATGATCCTGACCCGCTGTTCGTGGGATGCGTCGCTGTTCGTGGCTGTTCTGTTGGATTCCCGAGTCCCCACTCCCTGCTCCGCGACGAATGCCAACTGCATGACAGTCCATTCGAGTGGTCCGGACACGCCGGACACTGAGGCAAACCATAGTCACTGCCTTCTTTTTTCAGGTGTGCCCCAAAAATCATCCCCTGTAACATCTTTGTGTGCTCAGGTCTTGGAGGGGCACTTGAATGTAAAAAGATCTAAATTCTAAAAAACATATGAGAAGAAACATGAAAGTTTTTGATCCCCCTGTGAGTTGGCCAGGTGAGGCGGTGCAAAGCATTCCGTAGTTATAAATCAAAAAGTGGTTCCCAGGGGCCTACAGAATCACAAACTCGTGATCCAAAGTCAAAAACAGAGTCTCTACAAAATGCGCACACACAAGGGCATTTTGGACAGGGACACTCTACAAAATGAGAAGGTCCTGGAAGGGACAAATACGGCATAAGAAAAAGTGGTTCCTAAAATGGACAAACTGCGCATGATGCATTAGTTAGAGGGTACCACTTTTCGCACTTTTACAAGTCAGGAAGAATGCAAATTTATACAAGTAAAAACATGACAACCCATTTTGTAGAGAGTGTCATTTTGAGACAGCCTTTTTCATCGTCTGTTTCGCGGTCTTCTCCCTACATCCCTCATCATCCCCCCTGCCAGCTAGGTGGGCACAACTTTCTCTACAAGGTGCCAGTTTTTGTACAAGATGCAAACCGGCGAGGCTAAAACCACCTCCAATGCAAATGATAATGTTTCTCTACAGAATCACAAACCTTCCAGAAACTCCAAAATACTTCAAGAACCCTAAAGTTTACGCTTCTTACTCTGTTCCAACATGAC